CTCTCATCTAGGCTTTTTCTTTTTTCCTTTTTAAGACTCTCTTCTGGCCAGGCGTTGGTGGTGCACGCCTTTTATCCCAGCACTCAGGAGGCAGAGGCAGGCGGATCTCTGTGAGTTCAAGGCCAGCCTGGTCTACAGAGCGAGTTCCAGGACAGCCTCCAAAACAATACAGAGAAACCCTGTCTCGAAAAACAAAAACAAAAAACAAACAAACAAAAAGACTCTCTTCCATCTTTGCCTAACCTATATGCTTCCATATTCTCCAAAATTGTAGGGGGAGAGTAGACTTTCCTGTGGCCATTTGCTTAGTGGCAAAGCAAAAGTCTTACCTATTTATACACAAGGTGGGGGATTAGGGACTCAAATAATTTCATATGTTCAGTGATACAAAGGATAAAAAGGTAAGATTTATATTAGCATAATAGTTACTGAAAGACAAAACAACACCATATGTCTACAAAATGCTTCAAACAGTGTATCGTTGTAAATATGCTATATAATATAGAGATGAAATTCAAATGATATATCCTATAGCTCAATAATGCTTTCTTCCTTCCTTTCTTTTTTTTTTCCCCCCCCAAGACAGGGTTTCTCTGTGAAGCCCTGGCTGTCCTGGAACTCGTTTTATAGATCAGACTGGCCTCGAACTCACAGAGAGCTCCCACTGCAGGTGCCACCACACCAGGTTCAATAATGCTTTTTTTTTTTTTTTGGTTTTTACGAGACAGGGTTTCTCTGTATTGTCGGAGGCTATCGGTCCAGCCCAGCCTCGAACTCACAGAGATCCGCCTGCCTCTGCCTCCCGAGTGCTAGGATTAAAGGCGTGCGCCACCACCGCCCGGCAATAATGCTATTTTTAAAACACAGTTGAGCATGGAAGCATTCCTGCAGTTCCAGCTACTCAGAACTTTAAAGAAAGAGGATCCTTTGAACTAAGAAGCTCAAGACCAGCCTAGGAAACATAGTGAGAACCCCATACAAAAACAAAACAAAAAAAACTATCCTCAACTAACACTCTCAACATTCCCTTTTTGTTAGTTTATAATGCACTTCTCATAGAACACATCTGTGATTCAATGACCAGCCTCCACATGTTCTCATGATGGATGACGGCACTTCAAAGTGTAAGCCAGACCAATGCTTTCTCCCTTAACGTTTTTGCCAGGATATTTTATCATGGAAACAGGAAAAGTAACCAAATTTTATCACACTGTATGAAGTTCTATTTACTCAATCTATCTCTCCCTATTGCTTTCTTATTTATATTCTTAATTCTCAGTACCCAGCAGGGAGCCTGGCACACAATAAGTGCTTAAACTTGGTGACTCTAAGTGGCTGAAGGAACTTCCTAATGATTCAATGGCTGGCCAGATACTGGCTATTATCAGAAAACATTAAATAATGCCAAGGAACTGTTCATGGATGGCAAAGGAGGAAATAGCCAGCAAGAGTGGATCTAGATGGAACAGAGTATCAGGTCCTGGGGTAATGTTCTAAAAGATCACACCCAAGCTCTGTGCCACTTGCTTAGTGTCCCGGCCACCACACCTTCCTTTCTAGTCTGCAGGTCTGTGCCTTGCAGGGCCAAACTGCTGAAACCACTCCTCACAGGGTACCCAGATACCACTACTGGGTAAGGTAAGAACACAAAATATTTCTGGATCTTCCTCCACTCCATACAATAGGATTTTTGTTTGTTTAGTTTTTGTTGTTTTGTTTTGTTTTTTTGAGACAGGGTTTCTCTGTGGCTTTGGAGGCTACCCTGGAACTAGCTCTTGTAGACCAGGCTGGTCTAGAACTCATAGAGATCTGCCTCCCAAGTGCTGGGATTAAAGGACTGCACCACCACCATCCGGCTAGAATAGGATTTTAAAACCACCAATAAACACTTCTTTTTCTTTTCTGTCTTTGGTTTTTGGCACAGACAGGGTTTCTCTGTGTAGCCCTGGTTGTCCTGGAACTCACTCTGTAGGCCAGGCTGGCCTTAAACTCACAGAAATCTGTCTGCCTCTGCCACCCAAGTGCTGGGATTAAAGGTATCCACCACCATGCAACTAAATACCCATTTCTTATCTGGAAGAGGTGGAGGGGTGCTATTTCTAGGGCTATCTACAAAAGAAGGGGTAGATTCTTCTCTTCCTAATGTTTGCCTGTTCCCTGAGGAGAATTCATCATTTACTAAATATTTATGGAACATTTGATATACCCAGGCTTTTTGTGAAGTGCTAGAATAAAAAATTAAGAGCTTCCCTTATCTTTAAGAAGTCAGACAAAGCCTCCAAAACAATACAGAGAAACCCTGTCTCGCAAAAAAACAAAAACAAAAAAAAGTCAGACAGATATAGCCAAAAGTAAAACAATGATTTAAAAATAAAACCTTCTCTATCAGGCATAATAATGGTACTCTCCTGCGATTCCAGCATACAGGAAGATCAAGGGCTCATAGAGAGCACAACCTGGAGAAACAAAGGAAGGAAAGAGGAGAGAAGCAAAGCAGCAGTAGCTTTTCCCTGACCGTCACATGGTATCATATACATCCACCATCTCTATCTTGCTACACTGCTTTTCTTCTTTAGAACGCTTGACCATGAGACACATACCCTAGGAGATCAGAAGTAGCATTAACTGTACCTGAGAGTGGCATCTGGGAAAGAACTAAACCTGGGGGGGGGGGTCACAGAAAAGTAAAAGGAAGGATGAATAGTTCCATTTATTTGCATTTTGTTTCAACCGAGTGGTCCTAGAACTTATGTAGCCCACACTAGCCTCAAATTTACAATGCTCCATTGTCCTGTAGTCACTCATAGGCATGCGCCACCCAGCCAGTCCAATTTCTCCTCTCTGTCTCTCCTCTCTCTCTCCCCCTTTCCCCTCCCCCCCCCTCCCCTCCTCTCTCAGTTTTTATGTAAGCTGGGGTTTTGCCTATGTGAGGATGTCAGATCCCCTGAACTGGAACTGGAGAACTGCCATGTGGGTGCTGGAAATTGAACCCAAGTCCTTTGGAAGAACATTCGGCGCTCTTAACCACTGAGCCATCTCTCCAGCCCCCATCAGTCCCCATTTCTTAAACCCAATATCTCCCACATCAATATTTACCTCAGTTCCAATTAATATTAAAAGATACCAATTATCTCTCATTTAGTAGCTCATTTCTGCCAAACTTTTTAAAACAAACAAACAGAAACAACAAACCAAGGCTTCTTGTTTCTCAGGCTGGCCTTGAACTCACTATGTAGCCAAGAATGATCTAAAACTTCTTATCCTTCTGCCTCCACTTTCCAAGTGCTAGGACAACAGGTAGGTGCCATTACACCTGCTTTATGTGGTGCTGGGAGTGCTAAACAAGTACTCTACCAGCTGAGCTACAGCCTCAGCCCCTTAAACTTACTTCTAAGTAGCCCTACCTGGCATTTTAGAAACTGACTCTTCTTCCTGTCCTGGCAGATCAGGAAAGTCTGAAATAGAACATAATAAATCCTGTCCTGCCCCTTCTCCCAACATAGTTGCTATGATTCATTTCCTGTTCCCAATAGTCATTTAATGCAGGGGTCAGCAAATGTCTTTGCAGTTTGACATATAGCTACAGACTTAGGTTACAAGTATTTTAGGTTTTTATGGGACCAAAAGTGTCTGTCCCAACAACTCTATTTTGTAGTGTTAAGCAGTCACGTCAGACATAAGAGAATAAATATTTCAACTAAATTTTTTTACAAAATCAGGCAAGGGGCCTGAAGCCCAGAGTATAGCATCTCCTAATCCACAGGAAAATCAGAGCAGTGTTCTTACAGTCTTTTCTGGACCACTCCTAGTAACTAGTCATGAAGCCTTAGGCCTTCTAACAAGTGTGTCTTACTACCACTTCCTGAGTGGCCTTCATAATTGGGTTTCAACAGTTTTTTCCCCCAGAATCATTCCATCTTTGAACAGCTCTAAAACACTACTTTTCAGCCTCGAATGTTTAGCCACATTATGTGTAAACCTAATTACGGTCTGACTCTTCCACCAGCATGCGAGGCCCACAAGGTAAAGAACATGTTTATATGTCATCTAATACCTCATGAAGAGTTCCACGTTGTCCTTGTGACGTCTTTTTCATGAGTGGGTTGACATGAGAAGTGTTACTGAGATAGGTTACTCCAAACCTTTCTCCATCCCTATCGTGCCAGCAGTGACCCAGACTGCTAGGTCTCTTAGTCACTCCTGCTCATGTTCTCACCCCTCTCAATCCTAGTTCACTGGTGCTCTCCATGGCCTTCATGAGCACCGCCAATAAAGACTGGCTCAAAAAAAAAAAAAAAAAAAAACAACAACAACAAAAAACAGAAAGAGCAAAAGGAATCGGGTGTTAATCCAAGTTTCTTTAATCTGTTTGTTTTGGCGTGCTTCTTAAAGGTAAGTCAGCCACCATCTCAACTGAGAAAGTAACTTTCTCAAAAGGGGAATGAGATATAATGAAAAGGACCTAGTTTGAAAACTTTATCATTTGCTGCCTTTGTGAACTTGGAGAAGTTATTTGGTCTCTCAACTCACTTCCTTACAGTGATAAAAAAAGCATTAACCTCACAGAATAGATGTTTGGTGTTTGTTTTTTTTTTTAAGATTTATTTTTATTTTATGTGTATGTATGTGTGAGGATGACCTGGAATGGGAGTTACAGACAGTTGTGAGCTATCATGTGGATGCTGGGAGTTGAACCCAGGTCCTCTGGAAAAGCAGCCAGTGCTCTTAACCACTGAGCCATCTCTCCAGCCCCCTAGAATAGGTGTTAAGGAAGAAAGTGTTTAGCTTCAAGAGTACACTACACCCTATCAAGGTGGTGGGCTTAATTAAAATAGAAAACACGTAAAATGTTTAGCCTGGCTTAGTCTCACGTATGGTTCACATAAGGCATCAACCAATACTAACTGTTCTCCCTTCACTTGCTGGGGTGGAAAACTGTAGAGGCTTCAGAACTACACAATTCTATTGGCCTGTCAGACATCACTATATAATATACTTACCATTTAGGTAATGGGAGCTTTCTGTGGTGACTTCTCGATGAACTCTCCACTGCCTAACGTCTTGGAAACAGTCACTGTCTTTCACTAGTAGCTGCCTCTTGACCTAGACAGGATATAAAAGAAGAGGTAGGCAAAGCATGAGTCACACCATGGCTGAGCCAACTCAAAGACCTTCATATATAGTCCAGCATCAGAAAAGAGGCAAAGTAAGAACTGTATCTATCTATACCTGGCTGTGAAAGAAGCTACCTATGTCTCTGAAGGGGAACCAGGCTCCATGCCACTTACCCTTCTATCAGATTATATGATTCCCAAACCAGATTGTCTTAATAATCTCTATTTCTCAATATTCTAAATATTTATAACATCTTGCAGCCGGGAAGCACCTCAGAAATCATCTAAACGCCAGAGTTTGGAAAAGGAGAGTCATGTGAAGCTGGAATTACACTGAAAATAAGAGGTTTTGAAAGACAATCTAAATCTCAAGAAGTCAAGTGACTTTTTCAAAGTCTTGTAGCTTTCTCAGTAAATACAGTAAAGACAAAGTTTATCTGGGGGGGCAGGGGAACAAGCCACTTCACAACACTAACTCTCATTTTATTGACTGCCTTTTGACTCAGTTCTCAAAAGGGCTCTGAACCACCCAATACCAAGAGATAAAGAAGAGTTTATACAAACCACTCTCTAGTTTTGAAGGAATAGCTTCCTAAAGGAAAGCTGAAGAGCCAATCAATCTGAAACTTACCACTGAGATTAGAGAAATTACAGGGGGTACAGGACTTGAGTCAAATCTTCCTGTCTATCCTGGTCTTGAAGAATGAAGGTGGCTTATAGGTCAGTACTAACTTAAGCTTTTGTACATAGTTTCACATTCAAACATCCCCTTCCCTTGAACCACGACTTAACATCCCTGTAGACCACCTTCTGGCCTCCTTCCAAGACCGTTGGTCCCTTTAATCTAAATTCTACATTGCTAAATTTATGCATACCACAAAACCAACTAACTGCCTCTATTCTCTTAAGACAGCTAACATATAATTAAAGAGATGTTTTGTTATTTGTTTAATGACTTAAAAGATGGCAGTAAAAGGAGTACCTGAAAGCTACAAACAAAAACCTGAAGAGTGGGCTAAGGGTTGTAGCTCAATGTAGAATGTTTGCCTAGCATGCATGAAGACCAGGGTTTTGAACCTCAGCATCATCTTGGCCCAGAGTGGCAAGAAGAGGGCATCAGATCCCCTGGGACTGAAGTTACAGATGGTTGTGAGCCATCATGTGGGTGCTGGAAATTGCATGAAGATCCTCCTTGGGAGCAGCCTTTGTGCTTCACCCTCAAGCCATTTCTCCAGCCTAAAAAGAATCTTTTTTTTTTTTTAAAGTATCCATACCAAAGGAGGACAGCATCCCAAGCATGGCTTGCAAGTGGGGATTTCTCCTTCTACCATGTGGGTTCCAGGGACTGAATTCAGGTCATCAGACTTGATGGAAACGAAGTGTCTTTACCCACTGAGCTCTCTCACCACATGACTGTGGTAAACACCATCAAACACCAATGCTACAGCTCCTTCAGAAAGCTTTTTGGAGGCTCTGCCAGTGACAGAAATGCTAAGTTCAAGTCTGTCTTCAAAGCAGAGATGAAAAGAGTCCTGACACAGTTCACCAACTGCCTCTAGAAGTTCCAGAGGAAAGACATGCCTAAAGTTACCAAGCATGTTAACATGACCACAGTTGTGTTCCAATAATTCTTCTGTAATGAATAAAAGTACCATTAGAGAATTCTGCTCCCAGCATGACCCTCCCAAAGATTACAGCTATAAACTGGTTAGAACAAAAACAACCATCTGAAGTGAACAGCAACTGGCAGATTTAGGAAAATTCAAAAAGCGACTGGGATGGGTTCCGGCTGATGGTATCCAGCTGTAGTTCTAATTGAAAAATCAAATCTTAGACTTCTGTAGGAAACATCAGCCAGGGATAATGGGAAATAGGAAAAGCAAGAGCCAGAGAAGGAGAGAGACCCAGTGGAGTGTGCAAACTTGGTCCTGCACTGGCTGACAATCTGAACTACGCAATGCAAAAGGCAGAATCAAAGACCTCAGGTCAAGACAAAAACTACAAAACTAGAAATGCACCCCCTACATGTGTGGTAAATATTGCAGTTTGATTAACTGTGCTAAAATTAAAAGCACTAACAGAAAATACTCTTGCACCCAAATATATAAGATATAACCCCAAGTTATGTAAAGAATTAGAAAAATGAAACCTAGTAATTAAAAGGCAATCAAGAGAATGCAACACAAAGATGAACTCATGGTGAAATTACCAAAGATAGAAAATACTAATTTAATGAAGTAAAAGAAATGCTCAAAACTAAAGAAAGATGGTAAATTTTGGGAAGGAAATGAGATGTTCTTTAAAAAGTGGGGACTTAAGAACAGAAATATAATATCTGATTTTTAAAAATTCACTAGATAGAATTAAAAACAGAATGGAGTGTGGGGGAGGTGGTTCAATGGGTACAGTTGTTACACAAACACTAGGATCTGAATTCATTTTTATCTTAGGTATCTTATTGCTCTCCAGCACCTATATGCAAAAACCTAGTGTAGTGATACACATCTGTTACCCCAGTTACTGGTCAGTCAGTCTCTTAATCAGAGTTCCAGTTCAGTGAGAGACACTATTTCAAAAACAAGGTACAGAAAAAAGACATTTGAAATAACCTCTGGCTTATACACAAACATATATGCACACACATACTTCTGCATAAGCAAACATACCAATGAACATATACTCCATATATGGGGGGGAAACCCTGTTTAAAAAATTAAATAAGCCAGGTGGTGGTGGCGGCGGCGCACACCTTTAATCCCAGCACTCGGGAGGCAGAGGCAGGCGGATCTCTGTGAGTTCGAGGCTTGGCTGGACTGACAGCCTCAAAAACAATACAGAGAAACCCTGTCTCGTAAAAACCAAATAATAATAATAATAATAATAAATAAATAAATCACCAAGCAATGGTGGCTCACACCTTTAATCCCAGTACTTGTGGAGTATGAGACCAGTCTGATCTATAGTGAGAATTCCAGGACAGTCAGGGCTATACAGAGAAACCCTGCCTCAAAACCACCACCACCACCCTCCCCCCCCCCCCAAAAATTAAGTTAAATAAATCTAAACCTTAAAAAACAAACAAGCAAACAAACAAAAACCAGAACCGAATGGAGATAACAGTGGGAGTTGGTAAAAACCGTGGAGCAGAATACACAATCTGAAATAAGTCTATGTTATCCGTGGTTTCCAGAAAAGCCACTATCAGACCCCTTCACCAGAGTGCACAAATTAATATCTATTGTAAGAAAAATTGGTAATGGAATATGCAATGACTTGAGACCACAGGGTTACGCAAACTATTTATTACCCAAAATTTTATTGGACTAAGTCAACTTCATCTACTAATTAACCCCTGAGAGTCACCCAGATAAAAGCAAAGTAGAAAGTATGAAGGTGGAAAATAAAAGGGCAGGAAAAACTTAAAACAATGTCTCAAAGTAGCTCCATGGTATACTGAGAAGCATGGGCAGTTGAGTTTGATCCCCTGTAATTGCTAATGCAGCACTCAGAACTATTAGCAAATAGAGCTGAGACACTTGAATGTGCGGTCTCTTCACCAAAAAGGCAGTCTACAAAAGGACGAGATTAGACGGGTAAGCCTAAAGCCTCTTGTTGTCAAATGCTTGGTGAGAATCACTCCAGAGTCATTAAAGTTGGTGAAGCAGCCAACCTGAGTTTAATTTTTAAGAATTGTTTTTTCCTGTGTGTGGTGTATATATGCATGTGCATGGGTTTGTGTGCTTTTGCAAATGTGGTATAAAAGCTGGTGAAGTAGCCTACCCAAGTTCCTCACTAACTTCATATACTGAAGTCACTGCATGCTGGAGCTCAGGACATCTTAGACACATGGAAGAATAAAACCTAAGTTGAAGAAGGCATATCATTTTGGTAATTCTGCCCTTTTCTCTAAACCTGCTCACTCTGTCACCTCACAAAGGGAAAGAAAGAGAACACAGAATAAGTGGTCTTCTCTGATTGAAGTAGAAATTTAAAGTAAGATGCACCTTCTGAGGCAAAAACGCAAATGGCAATCCATGTTCTGCTGCTAACATACCTCTAGGTCCCAGTTTACCCACCCAACAGAAGGCTTTGTAGGCCAGGCTGGCCTTGAACTCACCGAGATCCACCTTGCCTCTGGCTCCTGAGTGCTGGGATTAAAGGTGTGCATCACCACCAACACCACAGTATAAATTTTTAATGAATTATTTTAGTTATAATCCCAGCACTTGAATGAGGCAGGAGGATGGTGAATTTGAAGCCACCTTGGGCTACACATAGTGAGATGTCATCAAATCACAAGAAAAACAATTACCAAGAAAGCTGGGTGGAAAGGTGCTGCCCCACTTAACCTGGCTGTAATATGGATACCACCTGCAAAAGTGAAGAGCTGGTTTCTGGGGAAGTGGTGTCCGTGGCCCATGCTCTTTCTCTCCCAGCCCAGTCGTATGGCAATGACCCTAATATTGAGATGGCTTGGGCCATTAGAGCAATGCAGCATGCCGAAGTCTATTACAAACTGATTTCATCGGTTGGCCCACAGTTCCTGAAACTCACCAAAGTAGATAACCAAATCTACTTCATGAAAATCTGGAGAAGCTCTGAGAAGACGTACTGGACCCAGAAGAACTCAAGTCAGAATCAGCTAAAGAGAAGTGGAGGCCATTCTGCTTAAAATCTGAAGGGACTGTAGACGACTACAACTATGGTACTTTGTTGTGACTAGACTGTTCCCAGGGCTACAGTGAGGAGAACACCCATCTTTGCACCCAGGATTCGATTTTTTTGCAATTGAAATTGCTCAGAATGGAGAAGGCTATAACAAAGCAGTCCCCATCAGTGTTCAGGACAGAGAAGGAAAGGAGCTGGCAATGAAGAAGAGAAAGAGAGAAAGGAGCTGCTAGTGGAGGAGAAAAAGAAGAAGGAGTCAACAGAGAAAAGTAGGAAACACCAGAGAGGAAAAAAAGAAAGCCAAGAACCCCCGAGTATCAG